TCACACCACTGATTCTGGAGGTAGGGAAAGGAGTGTGGATGCCAAGGCTGACTCATGGCTCTCCGAGTTGGTCTAGTCCTAAAGAAGCATGACTTCTCAAAGTAGGTAGTTATTTTAAGTTCTGATTTCATAGTTGATAAGAATGTCCAGAAATATCTATGTGCTCAAAATCTTGCGCTCTTTAGGACCACCTCCTATCCCTGAGATCACTTCAAAGTGTGTTAGCAGAAGCACTACAAATGCTCAACACTAACACCTCAATGCTCACAAACCTACAACCAGCAAACTGGTTAAATGACTGCAGAGATGAGACTGTCTCAAACACAGAAAATCCTGTAGGCTCATTTCAGCATCTGCTATCCCTCATAATATAGTCATTATTTTTATCTCCAACTTACAAAGGAGTTAACCTGAGGACATAAAGTTGGTGTTGGCATTCTAATCTAGCATGGAGCTCCTTGGGGGGAATTTCTTCTATACTTGAGAATATATTTTCTTCAATATATTTCTATATTGGAGAAAAAAGTCATATAGATTGCTTAGGATCCTTTAAATATATGGAGTGCGTGCATGTGTGTGTGTGTATGCATGCACGTGTGTGTGTGTGCATGAACACGGGCATGGGCCCATGATAAATATGCACATCTTTTGTATGTGTGCATGTTTACATGGGGTGCATACACGTGTGTGCACATTCATGTGTAGGTCAGAGGATAACCTCAGGCCTCATTTCTCAAGTGCTGTTCACCTTGATTTTTTTAACGAAACAGTTTCTCCCACTGGCTTTGAGTCAACTAAGCAGACTGGCCAGAAGTTCCCAAGTATCTGCCTATCTCTCTTCTCCAGCACTGGGATTGCAAGCATGTCTTTGTTTAGTTGTTTTTTTTTTGTTTTTTTTTTTGTTTTTTTTGTTTTTTTTAAAACGTGAGTCCTGGGAATTTAACTCAGGTCTTGATGTTTGTGCCGTAAGCACTTTACTGACTGAGCTGTCTCCTCAGACCCAAATATATTTTTAATTTTATTCTTGGAGAATTTCAAACACGGATACAATGTGCTTTGATCAAATCCACCCTCTAGCTCCAGCAGAAATTTCTCTTACTGGAGGGAAGTGCTACAAGCTAAGGTTTCAGATAGTTTTGAGTTTTTTCACAAAACCAAAACTCCTGTTGACTTGGAAAATTAAAATAGTCTTTGTGGGGTTCTCCCTGATGAAAGGCAGATAGAGGTTGAATCACAGAAAACAAATGGTTAATCCCTGACTCAAGGGAGGGTCTAACCAAACCATCTCTGTAGCAGCTTTTGGCCCTGGCATTCTGATTTCTGATATTATACTTTATGTAAAGGGCACAGCAGTCAGGCCCTGATAGGGATCCTCCACAGAGCTCAGATGGGCGATGTAGGCCACAGACCAAGCAGAGAACAACAGGAAAGCATCCCCTGTTTATGAAGACTAGGTGAAGCCTTGTAGGGATTGCCTTCTCCACCACTGAAATTACCCATCACCCTCTGCATGACCTTGAGGTTAGATGGTATTCTGCATAAGAAAGAAGAGAAACACAGATGTTTATTTTTGCACAAGAACTTGGCTTCTCAGAAGTAAATGGAATCACTAAACAGACTTCTCCACTGTGCTGAGCTGAGCATGGCCTGAGCATGCTGACCAAATGGAGACATTTTCATCAGAGAGAATTGATATAACTTTCAGAGGCAATCTTTATTTAGCTAACACACTAAGGGCAAGAGTCAAGAAGGATCCCCCCAAAAATGGGATTTTTTTTTCCAGGAATCTCATCCTAGGAGAAGGAAAGGGAGTCAGCTAGAGAGGGAAAGTGTCTCCTGGAAAGAGACTTCAAACAATTCTAACAATTTGTCAGACAGGATGAGACTGAAATCCTGATAAGGATGGGTATGGGGTACTTGAGACCATGCTTTGATCACTTGAGGGGTTTTCTGGGTGCCTTTATCCTTCTCCCCAGTGTAATCTCATTAAATAAATCTCATTCTAATTCTTTCTTTTACAAAAATAAGAGTTTGATACTTTTTTTCCAGTGAATTTCAAGTATCTCAGGATATAGTGAGCCACTTACATAGAGTTTTACTATTAAATGTCTATATTGTGTGACTAGGTAAATAGAATTCTATCATGTCAAAAGTTAAGACACTGTGTTCTCGATTACGGAACATATAAATGTTGGGACAAAATGTTGTTTGCTTCTTTGTTCTCAATATCTTGGAACAGGCCTGTTGTCACTCACCAGTCAACCAATAAACACTATTAGGTAAGACATTACAGGTCATTGCTGTCAATGTATCTACTGAAAGAAATAACACAGGTCCCAATTACATTCCATGAAGGGATAGTGAACAGTAGCCATCTGAATAAGAAGGGCAAATGAGAAGTGTATGAGACAGAGATTTATCCTTCTGTCTTCCCTTCTTCCCATGTTCTCTTCTCAAGACTCTGTCTTCTCTGGCTGGGTAACTGGGCATCTGCATGGTTTACATTCTTGTTTGGACCTGTGTGCCTTGGAGACTTAACAATGAAGGTTATTGGTACATAGCAAGCTTCACAAACATTGCTTAGTATCAGTCAGCAGGAACAGATGATGGTTTGAAAACACTGAGATCTACCTGATTTTCATTCATTATAATGTGAAAAGGGAAAGTTTGAAAATCTTAATAGTCATAAAATCAGAGGTAATAACTTGGATTGATTAAACATTTTAAGATCTAAGAGAATGGAGACAAGTTGGATACATGGAACAAATTTTAAAAAGATAAAATTTGTTTCTCAACCTGAAGGTTTTTTAATAGAACCTTCAGCTTTGTGCAGTGGCAATATAATAACCAATGAGGTTTATCCAAGGCACAATTATTGCTAATTGAGTAGAACCTTCAGGATATGAGGGAGATGGGTAGACAGCATCATTTTTTAGGACAGCCCGCTGTACACTGATGCCAGAACGGAGAATATGGCTCTTGATAACCCCAACCGAACAATGACAGATAAAGTGATCATTTCACTCAAGATCACACCATGAATATGGTGGATAACCATCTGGCTAATAACAGAAAAATCTAGAAATCTTGGCCCAACTAGAATAGTTAGGGAGGGAAACTTTGAACTAAAACAAGGCTTCAAAGCAGACTTTTGAAGGGATTGTGTCTGCTCAGCCCTCCACAGACAGAGGTTGTATACAGTAGATCCAACCACTGAATGGGTAGACTTCCCTTCTTGGAGTAATTCCTAAATAATAAAACATCTACTTTGTATTAGGAATTATAGTCTACAGGAGAGTGAGCACTGATTCTATGGAGATACTGCATCCTAACATAAGGAAGTTGATGATCTGTTGGTTCTGATATCTAGAAGGGCCCTGGAACCCAACCCTACAGGCGGAGAGGGAAAAACAGGACACAGGTATCTTCAAATCCAGATTTGAGATCAATGTGAAAAAGATACTTGAAAGGTTGATCTTTTGGGTCACAGAGGTGTAAGCATCCCAAGTTGGCCGTCTTCAACAAGAGGTGTGTGAGCAGTGCCTGTGAGCAGCCTGACCTCACCCTGACTCTGGTCCAGGTGCTGTTTTGTGTAACAGAGTTGGTTTACCTGTCAGACAGAAGTGCAGTTTAAAGTTTCAATATTAATTGCCACCAGGCTCTTTTATTTCCACAAAATCCTTAGTGCAAAGCAATTATGCAGTAGTCTAAAAATCTGGATGGAGGCAGTGTGTGTGGGGAGCTATACCGCTGTGGTCTGGTCTGTTTGCTTTCTTTATTTTTTATGTAGGACCTCAAAATATAGCTCAGCCTGGCTTGAACCCACATGCCTCTAGCCTCAGCCTCCCAAATACTGGTTTTACCAGTTTGTCTTGATATCTTCTGAGGTTTTTGATTTTTCTATATTTATGTGAAATGAGCATTCCTTCCTCCCTCCCCAACATTCATGCTGGGCTCTTAAGTAAAACAGGCTGAGAAATGCCATTCCAGCTGATCAATCCATTTCACTTCCAATCGCTGCAACAGCATCTAGTTCTGTTGTTTGAGGTGATTGATGTTTAGAGTAGAAAATTGATGATTCGTATTATATGGAAACATTGTGATTTTTTCCCCTCTCTCCCTCCCCCCTTCTTCTCTCTCTCTCCCTCCCTCCCTGCCCCACCCCAACTCTGTGCATGCTCTCTCTCTTTCCCACCCCTCTCTCTCTCTGACATAGGATCTCTTTTTGTAATTCAGGCTGGTCTGGAACTCACTATATTGCCCAGACAGGCCTTGACATTGATTCTTCTGCTTCTATCTCTCCAAAGCTGGTATTACGAGAATGTACCCTCCATGTTCAGCACTGATTTACTTCCTAGTCTTGCACTTTCTGGGCTTCATACATACTATGAAAGCAGCTAAGAATCTTAGGCTACAAGTCATGTCTCAGTAAAGTATTAGGATCAGCAAGGTGGCTCTGCAGTCACAGAGTGTCCAGGGGCAGAGCTGCTCATGAGCAGGTCCTGTTTTCCATCTTGCTGTATGGTTTTCGTCCTACGTTATTTCTTTATTGAACCCTTAATTTGTTTTCACCACTTAAAAATGAAGACTGTATCTCTATTTCTCAGGATTGCAAAAGTGGTAAGCTCATACATGTGAAGAACCCTAAGATAACTACCAAGCATACACAAAGCACTTAGTGTTTTTTTGCATCTTTGGAATTACCTTTATTTTTATTTGAAACTCGGACAAAATGTCACACTCATGGTTATGGTTTATTACAACAAAAAATTACAGATCAAATTCAGCAGAAAAAAAAAGAGAGTCTCAGAATGACCAGATTCAATCTTCAGAAAAATAAAAAAAGAAATAAAGAAATAAAGTAGCATGTGGAAAACAGATGCCAAAAAGGAAGTACTAAGTAGCTATTTTGCATGCTTTGATTCTCCAGGTGAATAACAAGCATCACCAGCATGGACTGACTGTCTGTGACTGTGTGTGTCTCCTTTCTCTCTTGTTAGATCTCAGTCTGTGGTAGAAGCTGGAACCTTGAAACATGAAGAGAAGGGAGAAAATGAGAACACCCAGCCACTGCTGGCTCTGGACTGAGCCAGCATCATGTGATGCCTCCATTGGAGCAGCCACCCAGCAAGCCTGTCCAGCTGACCTACAAACATGTGTGTTCTGCTTGACATGAGGTCCTCCATTCCAACCCCAGCCATGACTGTCAGCAGCCATTGATCTGGGCAGCCCACACTGAGAGATCTGAGAAATGCTTCTAAAATTTAACTAATTAATTTATGTTTTAGTGAAGGATGGCGGGGGGGCAATGAAGAAAGGCATTTATGTAAAAAAGATTCTCCCTTCCCTCATATTTATGGCAGCAAATGTACTTAAAAAGGGAAAAAAAAAACTAAATTAGTCACATATATAGTGCTCTAAGGATTCACACAGGAACCCTCTCCAGGTTTTGCAAATTAAGATGAAATGAATTCCCAAATAAATACAACAGAGTTAAAATGTGCAGAAACATCAGCAAGTTTAATGTAGTGCCGAACCCCAAGCAACAGTAGCTACAATAATTTCCAGTTGTATTGACTTATTTTCTGACCTCATCACCAGCATCGAAGTATTCAGCCTAAGAACATGATCTCGAAGGTCTGGCTGTTTGCAAAGTTTTAATTTACATAGTTATCCTGTAAGAATGATTTGACATCACGTTGTTTGTCAGGCCATCAGCTGACTTCATGAACTGTTTTATTTAGAAGACAGTCAGTTTGAAAAAAAAAAAGACTGCTTCATAGCATAGTGATTTCCTGTAGGCATGCAGAGGAATGCCTACAGAGAGAAGATGACTCATTGAAAAAAAAAAAAAACACACACTGGTGACTGATGAGCTCATTCAAGTTAGTTCTTGGGTTACTACAGCAAAGAAAAGTGCTAGCAAATACGTCCCTTTGTCCAACCCTCCTATTACCTGTGGAGAAAGGCCCTGAGGTGGCAGGCAGTCAAATCTCACAGAGAGATCCTTAAGGATGGCTCAGCATGTAAGTAGCAAGCTAAAGAGGACCACGGATGCAGATGAAATGCCAAAGACCAATCTACTTCCTTATCCATCCTCCTTAGAAATGGACCCCAGTCTCCACTCACAGGAAGTCAGCCAGAAAACATCAAAGGCTAGGATATTTTATCTGTGCCATGTTTCCCAAGACCAATTGAGCATATGTAGATATCTTATTCCCTAGCCATCTCTATGATATAGACACTTACTAACATGACCAGTGTGCTTAATGTCAAAAATTTTCATTGATAACACTTATTAAAATACTTTACATTTTAGAGCATTTGGTAGGTTGATTTACTAGCCGAACATCCTAAAGAAAAGGGGAAACCAATTCAATTTACTTCCAGCCATAAACACCCAAACAGCATTGCTAATTGTGGACACTTCCCTCTCTACTGTTTCTCTTCCCCGATTGCCGCCTCTTCCTCTCTTCCATCTCTCTTCTCCTATTCCCACCTCTTCCTCTCTACGTCTCTTCTTTCCCTATTCCTTCCCACTTTCTTCTCCTCACTTCCTTCTCTTTTTCCTTTGTCTTTCTTTCTCTGTCTTCCCATTCCCCTTTTGTCTCTTTCTCCCTCCAGTGCTGAAGATCAAACCCAGGGCCTTGTCATGTTAGGCGAGAGTTCTACCCCTGAGCCCTGAGCTACAGTCTAGATGTACACTCCTTCTCGGTTGATCTACTCTTTTATTATTGTTTTCTACTGGCAGAGAATAGTAACAGAAGCTATTTTTATGTTCCAACCTTGAAGAAGTAAAAATGAAACAGAATTTAAAATATTTCCCAAACAATTGCATCATAGTATATAAAAAACACCAATTCATTTTGTATAGACCTTTTGAATCATAAAATATCAACCTTGAAAAATGTCTACCAAGACATGGATGGAAACTATTTTCCTATGACACAAGTAAGAGAGAGGAAAAATTAAAGTGAATTAGAAAATCTTTTATTGCTTGTGTTTCTAAGATCAACGTGGGATCCAAGTCCTCAAAATGCTGTTGGAGTCAGCTACTGCCAACCCTTGTAATGGTAATGATACTTCTGGCTTTTCACATGGCAATATTTAGAATCCTACTGTAATGACCATATTTTAAAAAACATGTTATATTTACTAAGTTAAAAGCTAATTTTCACTCATTTCCACCCTTTTATTACATGAATGTAAGGTGATAGTTTAACAATGAGAACACATGGTTTGCATTTCGTTATGTGTATGTAATATGTAGGAAGACCAAACCCAGTGGGTAACCAAGGGTTACTACATGAACACTGGATTGTATTGCCTTTTGTCAGTAAGTTCCTCCGTTTAATAAATACTGAAGAACACAAATAACTTTTTTGTTGTCTGTGAGTTTGTTTTCTTTTTCTGGAATTTGTTAAGGATTTGATATTTCCCCTCATGCCTTTGCCATCTGTTTTAGAGGAATTTTTGAACACTGGCAAAGGAAGGAACATGCACCTATTTTAAGAACGGGACACATATTTTGTAAACTTTCCTACTAAGAGCTAATGTCCTTAAGATAAAAGGGACAGGATCAATTTCAATGAATTGCTCTTTACGTGAGGTACAGAAAGCTGCTTGTTTTTACATTGGTTTTGTCTATGTGAGGGGCCTGAATACCAGCCATTTCTGTGGCAGTGTTGTTCAACTGGCTTATAGATCAGTGCATGAATGTCATTACATTCTAAGGCTTGAGTTATCTTTAATTTTAAAATAGAAAATAAAAAGCAGTAATGCCTTACTAATGATCATCTTGAGGAGGAGGATGGCGTTCTACTGCTCTTTCTCAGCCATGGGTAGCACTCAGATCAAACATGCCTGTGAAAGGCTGCTTCAAAATATAATGAGATGGCTGACATTATTTTGAGAAAAGAAGATGGAAAAGCCCTGCAAATTCGTAATCAAGCATGTTTGACCACCTAGGATGTTAGCATCCCTGGGCACTTCCTATGTTGCTGTTCCTACATGGATAAAATAATGGAGACTCTCAGAAACCAAGAGGTCATCTTCTTAACACTCAAGTGGATATCTTCTTGACACTCAAGTGGATCTACAGTAGGCAGACCCTGCAGATTCCAAGCCTTGTGTACAGAAGGCAAAGAGGACAGGCTACCTGGCTTCCTGATTCTGAGCAGGAAGTTTCACTTCCATGTGATATTTTCTCTCCAAGCTCCATTATCTGTTGTATTTTCTTATCACAATATGAAATGTTTCCATGGCGTTGCTCAGTGTAATTAGAAAAAAAATGTTGCTCTTAGAAATAAGAGCTTTCTATTATTATCACAAAGAAAGGGGGAGACACTGAGTCTAAATGAGGACACAAGGGCAAGTGTTGGCACAGTTCATGCCTCCTGGAATAACTTCCCATTTATGTTAGGAAAACAAAGTTCTTTTCTTCACACGTGACTTTTTTTTCTCCAAGAAAGATGTCTGAATTTACCAGGAAGATTACTATTTAACTGTTAGAAGTAAAGAATTTATACTTCTTGTCATTAAAGTCAATGAAAACATGAGGGTAAATGGTGACAGAACAGTTTAGCTACTTGGAAAAATATAACTGCATAGAAAAATTACAAACTAAAGTGATTCATTCACAGTTTCTATATATAATATATACTCCAGGTACATTGATGTAGACACTATTCTATGTAGAAAAATATCTTTGGCCAGCCATGTAGAAAACACAACCTAGAATTCCCCTTCAATCTAGGCATCAGCTCTGTGCTGTCATGGGTGACATGAAGCAAGGGGTCTCCTATATGAATTGCAGGAAGGCAAATACTCCCTCCAGTGAGTTCTAATCTTGAAAGAGTCTGAGAGGTCTTCAGCTGTAAGACAAGGGGATGAAGAGTCACAGCACTTGAACTTCTATCTCCCCACCCAAAAGGAATCAGAAAGGCAGCCTCCTTGGAGAACAACTAAATCTGTGTGGATGCCTTTCAAATTGCAGGGAGGCTGTGTCTCTGCTGAGTGGTCAGCTCGGGGTGCCACACATCCACAATGAATATCAGCCGGAAAGATGAAGCATCCTGCCAAACCTCGTGCTCAAAGGAGTCATCAAAGATGAGCACCTTGCCTTCTTCCCACGTCCTGGAAGAGAAAGACATGCATTTGTCAGAATGGCCTTGGGAGTTTCGAAGGCCTGAGGACCAGTTTCTGTCCATGGGCAGAAGGCATCATTTGTGACCTTCATTGGGATATGACCATAACACCAAGCCTTAAAATAGCCTTCCATTAATAATTAAGAACTTCAGGCTTCTTTCTTATTAGGGACAGCAATTTAATACTGACAGTCTTCATACTCTCCATTTAGCCTGGCTCCAGCCTTAAACCAGGTGAGTAAGTATCTAGAATAGTGGTTGTCAACGTCCTAATGCTGTGACCCAACCCTTTAATACAGTTCCTTGTGTTGTGTTGTGGTGACCCCCAACCATAAAATTATTTCATTGCTACCTTCGAACTGTAAGTTTTGCTACTATTAGGAATCATAATGCATTTATGATAGGCAGGATATCTGATAGGTGTCCACTGTGAAAGGGTTGTTGGATCCCCAAAAGGGTTGCAGCCAATAGGGCTGAGAACTGCTGATCTAGGTGTGCGCCCTGGTAGCTCATGCAGGGGACAACTCCTAGGACAATAACTCCACAGCTGTCCCATTTATCACTTTAGAGACTGGTTTAGGCTTCTGGGTGGTGAGAACCAAAGTTCCCTCCCCTAGAGCCCACATAAAAGGCAGACACATAGGATGAGCACCTATAATTCTAGTGTTCTTATGGGGAGATGAGAAACTTCAAGACAAAAGAATCTTGGGAAGATTGTTAGACAGCTTGCCTGGTGTATAAAGTGGTGAAGAATAAGAGAGACCCTATTCAAACAAGACAGAGGGTGCTGACCGACACTCAGGGCTGTCTCTGAGCTTCACACATATGTGGCGTTATACACATATGCCTCCATTTACCCTCCCACAAATGTACACACACACACACACACACACACACGAGTGCACAGGATTCCACTTTCCCATCCCACTTCACCATCCGCTTACACAAAATAAAAGGGTGCGCAGGTGAGTTCTAGAATCGCTAGAGCTTCTTCCTGCTTGAAGACCAAGTTGTGTGCTGCTGTGTGCTGTTGTATGCTGTTGTGTGCTTCCTCTAGTTCATTGTATCCTCATTCAGTGAGTGACATTTGGGTTGCTCCCACCTTTTGTCCCTTGTGATTTTGCTGCTGTGGGCAGGGGCTGGGGGGGAGGGTACTGTCTCGTTGGGTACTTGCTATCTTTTTCTTCTGTCTATCCTGTAGTTTGTTCCTTACAGCCAGTGACATTGTTCAATTTTTCTGATAACACTTAGATCAAGAAAATGACCCTCTCTCTGTTTAAGTATTTAAACATAGTAGGGTTAGTTTATTGCCCCCTCCTTTTCTTTCTTTTTGGTTTGTTCTTTTCTTAGTTTCCTTTTCATGTTTGATTTTGCATGGTAATAAATGCCTATCCTGTCATTTAGAGTCCAGTCTAAGTTTCTGTCCTTTATAAACCTTGGAGTGAACACTCGGTTCCCTATATCCAGAGGAATTGTATGAAATTTGCATTTGCTAAATGCAAGATAAAAAGCTGAGAGGCACGCAGTAGAGGGAAGGGGCAAGTAGGTAGGTGGTAGATGAAGAAGAGAGATTGATCTTTTTATTAAATATTAGCTACTGCTTTATCAGTTTATTAACTTAGAAATATTGTTGTTAGATTTCTCCAATATGCCAGTTATTCTTCTCTGGAGTGACTCTGCCTCCCCTAAATCCATCCCCACATTTGGAAACTCCTGTAAACGTTTCTCATTGTCACAGAAGGTGTGGAGCACAGTACTGCCCTCTAGTGGCTAGAGGCCAGGAATCCTGCTGAAGATCAATGCCCATGACCGTCTGAGCCAGATGGCCACAGTGCCCACAGTTGGTAGCACACAAAACGACATCAATGATGTTCTCAAGGAATGTGTCCTGGTGATAATATGGTAACCAGCTAGCACCGCTCCTGCTACTATAACTCTTTGCTAAGGTGCAATACAAAATTTTAAATCCTTAAGTGGAATTAATATTTTTAAAGAAGTCCTAGTGAAAATTTCCTTTAAAAGTTAACAGTATTTAGCACATTAATATCACTTAATATGTATTTTCACGTTAATATGTCTATATAAAGACCGGAGCTCTGACCCCGCCCACAACCTTTGGTGGGCTAGAAAAGCATTGAACAGCTCCCACCTGCATGTTTCCTTCTTGGTGCTCCATTTAGACTATCATTCTAGAGTTTGGTTTTCACATAGCTTTCTCCTGAGGTTCTGCTGGAGGCCCCGTAGGGTGCTTTGCAGCACTGATTTAAGATATTCCATGTATAACCCACTTACATAGTAGATGAAGCTAAGAATATAAACAAGATTAATTTCCAATCTGTCTGTTTTCCTAAGATAGAATACTACTTAGAAAACACCTAGTCTGGTTTTCCGGTCACTGAATGTAAGACTCCTTTCTTCCGTAAAATGAATCTTCAACAAACTGACTGAGCTGGAAATGAAATCATTTGGACCCTGTGTCAGGTGTCCTTCTAAGAGATGTAAACATTCCCCAGATGTGACCGCAAGGGCTTTTATTCAGGGAGCCATCTCCCCAACCCAATGTAGATGTATCTTAAGGGCATTATGCTGAATGAATCAAGGTAGTCAGTAAAGACCAGACTCTGCTTGTTTAAGGTCTTGGAGTAGTTGAGATCAAAGACTAAAGAGAAGTGGAAGCTGGTGGGTTCAGTTGGGATAGAGGTACAGACTTAATACTCAACTGTCCAGTCTAGATTATTCTGGACCTATTTATGTGAGTGACTGCTAACCAACCACCTGTTTTAAAATGGTTAATATATTTTACTTTATGATGTGTATTTAACCATGATTAAATGAAGGAGGAAGAAAAGGAAAGTCAACAGGGACATATGAGAGAAAAGAGTGAAAAAGCATCAGAACCCAGTGGGATAGGCCTTGAAGAGGGCAGAATAAAATCTTTTGATTCTGGCATTTGTCACTTGTGTGATCTGGGGCAAGTTACTGATGCTTCTTTATTAAGGATGATTTATTCCCTAATAAATCCATCATGAATCAAAAGTCCCATGCATTGCTGATGTACACAATACACTATCCTGACTAAAGATGCCAGCCTAGCCTACAGTATACATGCTCTGAATGTTGACATTAGCTGGGCAAGGGTATCTAATGCAAAGCCTACTGTATATTAATGTGTGGAATTGCTAACATTACTTATCAGAAACCAATATCCAACAAATTCCAGCAACATAGCACCTGGTAGCATTTCGGCTGGTAGTCCAAGTGGCTGACTGTAGCTAGGCTGCTGAGTTCCAGCAACACTAGAAGGTGATAGAAGGCACATATTGCTGACCCAGGAAAAAACTAAAAATTAAAAGTTCAGCTTCTAGTAAATGGGTTTCATTTCTTCATAACAATAAGGTTGAAATGCTGCAGGTAAAGCTATTATTATATTAAGCATTTGGTATGTCTGAATTTTGCACATTTTCACTTGTTTGGCACCTGCAGACTTGATAAGAGGATCTGGTACCCATTCAACTTCATAGTAGAAATTATGAAACAGACATGGGAAGAAAACAAGAAATATGGAAAAGACAATAGATTACTAAGAATATATTTGACATCACTCCTTATGAAATCTGATTTAATTTATGAAGACTCAAAATATATTTTGGAGACCAATGACAAATGGCTCTTGAAGTTATTTGAGTACCAGAGAATCTGGAAGCTATTTAAAAGTCTACATGTAATTCAAATAAAATACAAAAATCTCCATTGCATAAAATGACATTTTCCAGGATATTTTGATTGGTATAAATGAAACCAAAGATTTAGGAATATTTAAAAAACATAATCATTCCATTCATTAACTTACATTTCCTGTGAACTAGGAAGAGTGATTTCCATGGAGCATATTGAGTTCTACATAGAATGACTTTGGAGGCACTGTTTATGGATTTTCTAGTATTCTAAGTCAAATGTGTATCAGTATCAGGTATATCCTTTTTGCAACTGTGGGTCACATATGTCCTGGGATAGTTATGAATATAGCCTAACACAAAAATCTTTAACTTACTTAAAAGATTGTGGAATTTTTTTTTTTTGATAATTGATCACATGGTTCTTGAGCATAAACTATGTAAATAATGGTATGGTCTTGCAATGTGGAAAGGGTGGACATGCCAGGGCCATTACTTAACCATTTCTTTAAAAAAAAAATAAACCTCAAAGCTTGAGGGCATTTCCATGGATTGTGCACTGGACTTTTCTTTAATAGAATTCATTTTAATATATTTTATTGACATATGACATGTGTGGATATGTGCATGTGTGCATGTGCTTGTGAGTATTTCTTAGCTGCATGTGTGGTGGTGGAGATGCAGGAGATGGTTGTCTTCCACCATGTGTATCTCTGGGTCTGAGCTAAGGTTGTTGAACTTGGAGGCAGGCACCTTTACTCGCTAATCCATCTCATCAGCCACTGACGGAGTTTAATGAGTCTTTAAAAGACTATGCAGAGCTTGAGGAAGTATGATCATGAGTTCAAATGGTCTACACGGTGAGCACAAGGCCAGCCTGGGCTATACAATTAGATCCTGTATCAATAAGTATGTCCTTGAATTTTCTGTTTCCACAGAACACTGCAGTAGTAATTACTTAGTTTATATCCTTTTCTTAAAAACACAGTCCTCTGACTTTTTACTAGTTTTCAGAGACAGGATAAGTAAAACTTCAGCTTCAATCATCCCAAAGAGGCAAAGGAAAGGACGATAGAACCTTATCCAAGTCAGGTCTCAGCACAGGGTTACCCTAGACAGATATCACCAGCCTGGGAAAGAGCATGTTTTTCCATTACAAAGAGATGGGGCATGCCATTGTCAAAGGACTGTGGATCTTTTTTGAATGAAAAAACAAAGGATCATTGACACAAGCATAGTTTCTAGAACGCTTGCATTTCGAGAAAAGCTCTACAAATTATGACTAAGTTATGAACGAATTATGATACAAGCAGCT